TCTCTCTCTCTCTTTTTTTTAGTTGTTTCATACAAGAAGGTAAACCCAGCCCCTACTACTCCATCTGAACCACAAGTGGAAAGGTTCTGCTAGAGAAACTCATTTCCAAAAGTCTAATCCTATACATTGCTCTACTAGCGATAAGCATCTAAGTCATCTGGGAAAGGAAATGCGATAAAAGTAAGTAGTAGGATTCATAATTGTTGCCATCCTTCATAGAAGTCAGGTTATGAGTGGGAAACAGACGGTAGGATCAAACTGGATGATTTTAGGAGAAGTTAATAAGGGGAGAATTTAGCAAAGTATGGACATTATTGAGGAAAAACAACAAGGGAAGTTTCAGTATCTCAAGATTACTAACAGAAGGGGAGCTGTTGCCACCCTAAACCTGAAAGTGGAAGAAAGATTACTTACAGAACAAAGAAAAATAATTATCCTTGAGAGAAGCTGTAGAAGTCAATACAGAAATGCAGCCAACTATCTAAACTATCTAACAAAAAAGGTTTAGGTCAATATAAACCCTGACCTCACAGTAATCCTACCTTCAAGATCTCCTGCCAGCCTTCTATTGATCCTAATCAGAAGTTGGAGGTCAAAGGAGTCATTTGATCTTCTCTATGGGTCAGTTTCAAGAATGATTGGTACAGAATATAGAATTTGTGAAGAGATTTGATCTGGAAAGACATAGGAAGATTTCTAGGACATTCCACCATAGTAAACTAGGATATTCCACTATGGTAAACATAGGAAAATATGTACATTATCAATTCTATGAGCTGATGAAGATGAGTAAAAGGAAATAAAATTGTCATGTCACATTCACATTGAATATAACCTGGTAAAATATGGTGACTGTTAGCATGTCTATATAGATGATATCTTTACAAAGTATCCACAGTAGTCAGATAATTATACACACAGGAAATCTGAATAAGCATCACAATCAATTTAACCACTTAATCATTATTTTAATAGTGGTTTAGTAAGTAGTTGTTAACCTATCATTCATCAAGTATTTTTACATGCTCAGCATTATACCAAGAAATAGGAGCATATAAGAAAGCAAAATATGTGTTGATTACGGTCAAAAACTTTATAATATACTTTGGAAAATGAAACATGCATGCAGCCAAGTAATCAATTAAATACACACACAAACATACACAGCATGTTTTTTTTTTTAATCTAGAGATAAATAACATTAAGATGTTCATATGATGTTCATGCAAGGAAACTGCAATTACAACTACAAGAAGGAACAGGCAACTTAACAAGGGCTGTTAGCCCTCCCTCCTCCAACAGCAGAGAGGGAAGCATGGAAAACTCTAAAAACAATGCTGTCATGTTTCCATCATTGCCCAAGGCACAGCAAGAAGGCTAGCAGTACTAATAAACTGGAAATGGTGGTGAGATGAAGAAGGCTCTGCCTCCAATACAAAATTAAAATATTATCTGTACTAAACTGTTTTAATAACTGAAAATACCAGAAAAGAGGTGGGAGAGTTCTAAATTATTGTGAACAAAGTTCACTGTGCCAAGATTAAAGAAAATTCTCAAAGCACCATTGGTACCAATTATCGAAAACAAATTTTTAAAGTTTTGCATTTATACATCAATAAATCGAGATTCCTCAACCACAAAATATCAGAATCACAATATAAAAAGACCATCATAGAATTAAATATGTGTAGATCCTTAATTTGCAATTTAGAGGAATTTATAAATTTATATATTGCTTTCTTATAAAATTTTGATGATGTAGAATTTCTTACTAGTTTTGCTCTTTGTTGTTGGAGCCCTTTACTGATGACCTTTGATTTCCTTATATCTCTTCCACTCAATAAAAAAGTCCTATTACTTAGATTTTACAGAAAATATATATATATGTATATAGATAGATATATACAGAGAGATATATATATTAACAATGAATACTGACCAGTGGTGTTCACACAAATAGGTGCAAAAATCCGAACTGTAGCACAAAGAGAAAAATGCCAAAGCATAATAGAGTATTTATCAGTTTTTAACATGCCTATGACAATTTAAAAAAAAAGCCCATAATATAAATTAGGAAAAGTAACTCTGTTTTAAAAATAATTCAGAAGCAATATATCTTAAATTAAATTAAAAAACGGGGTGCCTGGGTGGCTCAGTCAGTTAAGCATCCAACTTCAGCTCAGGTCATGATCTCACAGTTTGTGGGTTCGAGCCCCTTGTCGGGCTCTGTGCTGACGGCCAGCTCAGAGCCTGGAAACTGTTTCAGATTCTGTGTCTCCCTCCCTCTCTGACCCTCCCCAGCTCACACCGTCTCTCTCATTCTCTGTCTCTCAGAAATAAACAAAACATTTTAAAAAATAGAAAAAATTAAAATCATGTTTCAAATTTTCATTTCCATTAAAGGGTCCCCAAAGGCCAAATTGATAAGGCATATAATAGTTCCTCTACCAAAGAGCTATTCTGACTTACTTGGCAGATTAGAAACCGGATCCCCACATAGGTATTTCAGAACCATGCAAGCATCAAATAAATGTGGTGATATAATTTATATTATCAGAAGGCAAATGGTTAGCTTTTACCTAGTAGACTTCCCTCTGTTTCTTTTGTCTTTTAGAGTTTAGTTTGTATCTATCTCTTCTGGTCTAGAGTTTTTATTAATAATTGAAGTGGCACTTTAAGACACGTCATGAGTTCTTTGAATCTACCCAGAGCTATTAAATAGTCATTCTGCTTTCTCTTTATTTACACAGAGTTGATGTGAAGCCTTTGGAATTCTTTCTCAATCAAGCACAGTAACATCAGGCACTATCTAAAAAATGAAAGACCATTTTAGAAATGTTCAGCTAGTACCAGTTCAGAAATTCTGACCTAATCCATTACATTGTGAAATTTGGATGAGGAGATACTATGATTAAAGTCCCAAATTTTCTGGGTGACAAACAAATACATTGAAATGAAAGATTCAGCTTTAAATAGCTTACGACATGAACTTCACAGATATTTGATTTAAAAAAGGATTAAGCAATTTGTGAAATCTGTCTTCTGTTTTGTAGAATTAAAAACAAAAATAAAACATGAGAAATCTACCTTGAACCAAATAATTTTGCTTTTCAAGTGCACAGAATGTAAGTAGCTTGCTCAGAGACATAAATGATGCCATTAAAAAATCAGGAAAAAATCCTGTTAACTATTCCAAATTGATTTCTATTGTTTTCTTAAATAGAGAATGGATAAAACTTCTCTTTATATATAACATCATGTGGAAATATTAATAACAACAGAAACTGAGTAACAAAGGAAGAAGAGAGAAGTATGCTACTATAACTTTTTAAGGTTTTACCTAATATTTCCTAATAACCTGAAATAACTAAGCTTTCTTAACTGAGAAATAATTAAAAATGAAATTTGCAAATCTTAAGAATTTTTAATGGAATTAGACATAAACATTTTCTTTTCCGTTTTTTTAATGCTTATTTTTGAGAGAGAGAGAGAGATCAAGAGAGCATGAGTGGGAGAGGGGCAGAGAGAGAGAAGGAGACAGAGAACCCAAAGCAAGCTCCATGCTGTCAGCACAGACCTGATGTGGGGCTTGAACTCATGAACCGTGAGATCATGACCCGAGCCAAAACCAAGAGTTGGACGCTTAACCAATGGAGACACCCACATACCCCAAATATAAACATTGTCTAAAGGAAGTTTGTTCTTTACAAGATACCAGTGGTTCATTGGATCTGACTCGTGGTTCAAAGATTTTCCCTAAAAATATTAATCTTTTATGTTTATCCTTTAAAATTGGTTAAAGAGGACTTCCATTATGGCAATCCAAATTTTCTCTTCCACCCATACTTTTTTGCCTATGTAAAAAATGTATTAGAAAGTCTTAGAAGAAAGAGATTTAAGATTAGGGGTAATAAACATACTGAATCTGTTTTCAATTAATGCCACCCTCTTAAAAGGGTAATTATTGAAAGTAGGACCATATTAATTTTTTTAAAAAAGAAATCACTTTAATTCATTTTATGTAAAGCTTTAACTTTCACCAGAAAACGAAAGCCATCCATTCCATAAGATTAAAAGCAAGTGGTAAGTGTTTTCTAAGTCACTATAAATGATCTCCTTAAGGGGGAAAAAGAAGAAGAAAAAAAAAATACTACCAAGCAATGAGCTAGAATAATGGACTCTCAGAACAAGGAACATCAGACACTTGCTAAAACTATAAATGAGATGCTGCATTATTCACTTTCTGTGCAACCACATATATATTTGAACTGCTATTTGTAAGTGGGTGGTTCCATAGTGAGATCATATAATGTGCGAAGATATTTAAGCAATTTATCAGTGATATTAAGAAGTATTATTTAATGTGCTGCAGAATACTATAAATTGCACATGATAACACTCTCATAAATTGGACTTAGAATAATAATCTGTATACTAATGCAGCAATGACTTTCTAAGAAAAAGAAAGTACTTTGAAAATCTTCATTGTTCTTAAAACCATGCTATATCTCAGCCTCCACAGAAAATTAAATAGCCACTGCTTTTAAAGTTATGTGTCTCATCTTGAAACGACAGTAAGCAAACAAGAAAGAAAAGTAGCAAATGTGAACAAAGTATGAAATCTATACAATAGAAAAACAAAACAGACCTCATTTGTCAAAATTTGGAGGTATGGAATGTTCCACATATTTCCCAATGAAAACCCAGCAAACAGAACAGGCACTCAACTACCTTTTTCCTTTGAAAAGGTCTTCCATCCCATGCCTTGAATAGCTCCTTTATTCCCCAACCCTAATATACTTAAAATCTCTCCCACCTAAACAGTGTTTAAGGGTTTTATGTTGTGTCAGTAATTATTTTCACAGTGGCATCTCCCTAGTGAGTTGCTAACAAAAAATCCACAGAGAAAGGTCTACTTAGAAAAAATGAAATTCCACAGCACAAAATTCCGTTGAAAGAACAGGCATTCAGAATAGATTTTATGCAGATAATGTACTCACTGCACTTTTTCTTCCATTTAATCCACATTTGTCTGAAAAGTCAGCTCTATTAGGGGCAGGTATTTCTTTTCTTTCATCCCTTTTTTTTCATAAAGAAAAAAGATGTAGGTTAGAGGCTATCCAGGGGTAACATTGTTACCCCTTTGGGTCTTTCCCAAAAAAATCCCAAAAGGATATAAACTATAATATTTACATATAACTAGAATATCTATCTTTCAATCAATCAATCATCTATCTATCTATATCTATCTATCTATCTATCTATCATCTATCTATCTATCTATCTATCTATCTATCTATATCTAGATAGATATATCTATATAATATCTATCTATCATCTATCTATGACATGAAAGGAAGCAGAGAGAGCATAGTGACTGAGGAAAGCATGGCATCTGAGGGAAATCAGTGTAGTAAGTGTTAAATACAAGTATTAGATGATCCCCCCCCCTAATTTTCATTTCTATAAATTGCTCATCTAACAGTCAAACTTCCTAGACATTGAAACTCTGGTGTTTCAAGTTTCATACTTTGGTAAAGTATCATAAACTGATGAGATCATTCTCCAAAGCTACCAAGAAAATAGTATTTGAGCAAATTATGACTAAGGTAGAATTTGAGATGAAATTGCTAAGAGAATCTGCTAGTTACAAGGAATAGTTAGATTAATATTTTGGCTTTGATGACTGGCCCTGAGGATGCCTATTTTTTGAAGGCAAGGATCAGGAGCCAAAGCCCGTCTACAGCCTAGACATTAAAATCTGGCCTAATTCAGTGGGTTTTACTGCTCCTCATTTACACTACAAATTGAATGAGATAAATACTGTTAGAGTGAAACTCCCTTCTCCTGACTTTATTTCAGTTTAGAGAAACATCAATTGATTTAACTCTCATTTCTTTACCCCATAATACAATCCTTCAACAGGGAGAAATATATTTCACTTGGGTAAGTTTGGGAATGGACCTGGGGAATTCCAAGTTTAATCAGTCTTTTCTTTCTTTCTTTCTCTCTCTCTTTCTTCCTTCCTTCCTTTCTCCCTTTCTTCTTCTTCTTCTTCTTTTTTTTTTTAATTTTTTTTATCTTTCCCGTATATGCCTGCCCATGGACAACATTTTCTTTGGTCCTTCAAGCTACAAGAAATGTTCAATGGAAAAGACTTTGCCCTTGCCTGAAAGGCTTTCAATTTGTCTAGCCTTGCTTTGGATTAGTCTGTATAACCAGTTTAGCATTAGGAAGCACATTTTGGTCACACATGTGTCCAGTTCTTCAACATTTCTAAAATAATAAAAGTGACATTCCCTCTGCCACTGCCACTTATTTGTCTTTTTGTTGTTGTTGTCTATTAATTTGTTAAGAACTTATGTGAAAGATAAAGGAATATTTTTGTATTAACCTTCTCAAGTCTCAATAAATATGCTACCTTAAAACAAATTTATTTATTTTTTAAAGATTTTTTTGACTTTTATGGGGCTCCTGGGTGGCTCAGTTGGTTAAGCGTCCAACTTTGGCTCAGGTCATGATCTCAAGGTTCCTGGGTTCAAACCCCGCGTCAGGCTCTGTGCTGAGAGCTCAGAGCCTGGAGCCTGTTTCAGATTCTGTGTCACCCTCTCTCTGACCCTCCCCTGCTCATGCTGTCTCTCTCTCTCAGAAAAAATTTTTAAAACAGCATTTAACAAATATATTTAAAAAGATTTTTTTGACTTTTTAATTTTATTTATTTATTGAGAGACACAGGGAGAGAGAGAGTGAGTGAACGGGAGAGGAACAGTAAAAGGTAGACAGAGAGAGAATCTCAAGTAGGCTCCATGTCAACACAAAGCTCCATGTGTGGCTAGAACCTACTAACTGTGAGATTGTGATCTGAGCTGAAATCAAGAGTTGGTTGCTCAAGCAATTGAGCCATGCAGGTGCCCCATAAAACTAATTTAAATAGTGAAATAAATGTAGCCCAAGAAATAAGAAACTTTAAGTTCTTAAAAAGTGACTAAAGGTAATATATAAATAAGACACTTCTTTTTAGATGATATCATAGAAATTCTTGAAAAATAAGACCTATTTATAAAGTGGAGACAATAATTCCAGACAGAATCATTAGGCAATTAGTTAAGCATGAGCAAGAAGGGATATAGCAGATGCTGGCCACACCCTCCGATCCACAGCCCTACCTTTAGAATCACCTCTAAGGGGCTAACAGAACAGGAAAGGTCTAGCCACAGCGCTGCCTCAGAAGCCAACAAAGGGACTTCAAGAGCTGAGCATAGGCACATAAGGTGCAACTTACCCTTAAATGCACAGCAAAAGCTCATTAGAAATATATAATACATAAGTAAGTACAATTATAACAGAATGTATCATGAGTAGGCACATTTGCAAAAGCCAGAAGGTTATAACCAACAGCTGTCAACCAAACCCAAATTTTCATATGCAGAAAGCAAGCTTAAAAGGATGCAGCCAATGCCTCTTGGGGCCATTGCCACTCTTGCTTTGGCAGTGGACCACTTTCACTCTTGAAAGTCCACTACACTTATCTACTGAATAAACTCTATCTCCCCATTCTGGTCTGGGGTCTCCCATTCTTTGGTACATCTGGTACAAGAACCGGGCAACCTGGTAACAGAATGATCTGCAAGATGATAATGCTTTTAATTCTGCTTGCTTGCACACTATAACTTTTAGATGTTTGTATTGAAAAAGAAATTTAGCCTTTCTTATAAAACGTGTACCTTAGTGTAAGGCATGTATGTGTTTAACATTGAATGCACATGCAAACAATGAAAGCAGATGTCATATAAACTGTGACTAGGAAAACTTGTTACAGTTTTATTCCTAATGATCAGGGGCCACCAATAACCCTTTTATCATGACTAGATTCAAGTTGGATTTAGACTTATCACAGTAAATCAGATTTGGAAGCAAAGGTCTGTTCTTCTTCTTCTTCTTCTTCTTTTTTTCTCAATCTGTCCCATTTCAACAAGGTGTGTCTTCAAAATAGAGGCATGTGGATCAATTGCAGATTTGCTTACATGGCTGTGCACATTCAACAGTTTTCTAATAGACATGACCCTCCATTTTAGCAATATTGGGGATATTGAAACAGGAATATCAATAAAGGTATTATTAATTAAGGACATATGCCTTAAATTTTTCTTTCAATTCAGAAATACTTTGTTTAATATTTTCAATATATTTGAAACACTTTGATCTCTCAATGAAAATTTTAGTATAAACATTAATAATCACAGTAAGGCTAATGAAGTAATAATGTGATAACAGTTTTAGTAGAGCAAAAAAGACAAAAATATCAGATAAATTTTGTATTTTGATAAGATTATAGTCTGATTTTTTTTACATATCATTAGAAAAGAATCTGCATTTGGTCTAGACTCAGCAATATATACCTGTTAAATAACGAAGTACTTTGAAAAACATCCCATACTTTTTATTTTATATTGGACATACATGCCATACATAAATGATTAACATATTAATTTTAATATTAGTTTATTTAAAATTTGATATAAATAGAAAATATTTAAAATATTTATAAAAGAGTAATCAAAAATTAACAGCCTACATACTGATTGGTGATTCTGGGTTTCTGTGGAAAATTACATATACATATTTATTCAATATATATAATGTGAGGAATTTAATTGAATACAGAGTAGGAACAGAATAATTATGGCAAGGGAAGGGAAAAATTTACAGGAAATTACATACAAACTAAATCATGAAAGATAAATTAAATAAGCCTCTCTGAGTAGCTTACGTGGTAAAGTAGACTTGACGGAGATGAAAGTGAAAGAGTTGGTCCAGATATAATGTCATGGTCAAAGACCTGGATACAGGAAATTTCAATGACTCTTAGGAAAGCAGCAAAGAGAGGATGAGTAAGGTATGGGAAGTCATGGTAGGAGATGGTACACGTAGGATAGCATGAGAAAGTTAGGATTTGGGATTGGAGGAAATGGAAGTCCATCAAAGCTTTCTCATATGGGCAGTGACAACAAAATCTATAATTTAGGTATATAATAGCATAAAGGGAAGTATGAGAAATAGTGAGTATAAGCTTGATTGTATGAGTTAAAAGTCAGTTTTAAGTCTAATTTGGCAAGAGAAAGGACTAGAGGTGGGAAATAAAAGGTTCTTATAATCATCCATGCAAGAGATAATAAAAGCCCAGTGATACTGTAAATACTGAAGAATGGAACATGTTAAGTAGACATTTTAAGGAAGAGTCAATACAACATTAACTGATTATATAGAGAAAAAAAATCAAAGGTAATATATGATTCTAAATTATGTAATTGAGAATGCAAACAATAGGCACCACAATTTCTGTGGGCTTAAGTACTCCAGTGGTTTTAAATGATCTCTGAAGAGTTTGTTCAATATTTTCAGGTGACTTTGTTAATGCTTATATGCCATCATCCATGACCATTTAAAATAAATTTACATGTTCTGATTTCTCCAATACATCTGTCATGACATTGCAAAGAGAATTTACATTTCCTAAGGTCATAAAAAAATGAGGCAAAAATTTACATTTATAATCTATGACAACCAATGAAAGTAATAATTATAACTATCATAATAGTTATTACCTACATGACATTGATCTGTAAGGCAATGTTCTATAGGCTTTGCATATATTACTTTGCTTACTTCTCAAAATAATCCTATGAGCCCCATTTATAGATAAATAAAGAAACTGATGCATAAACTATGGTTAAGGCCCAAAAGCTGGTATGTGGCAGAGTTAAGATGTAAACATGTATGATCTGGCCCCAGTGCCCATATTCTTAATCACTACAGTGTGCAAGGCTTTAATGCATTTCACTTAAGTAAATGTGTTCCATTCAACACAGTTCTACACATCCTCAAGTAAGCAAAAAACAGTACTATTCCTATTCATAAATAATGTAATAGAAAATAAAGCTCTGTCTATAACAGTAATAAAGATGAAAGATTATAAGTAGAAACCTAGTAAGAAACATACAAAAATGTAGAAAACTATAAATTGTTAATGAAAAATATGAAAGATGGATTGAATAAGTAGAGATATGCTATGTTTATAGA